TAGTAAGAAAGGGTTGCAAAAACTGTGCCTTGGGCTTAAGGTTAAGAGGTTGAATGAGCCCATTGTAAGTAAGTTAGCTAACAGTAGTGAAATCGTCATGGATCGGTACGTCGAGGGGGTCCAAGCATACTTTCGGCTCGAGGCAGAGGGGAAGGTGGAACGTGTTCTCCACTCTCTGACCTTCTTGGTGGAAGATAGTTTGCCCTTTGATGTGTTGTTAGGCATGGATTGGGGTGAGGTTGCGAATGCGGATCTAAAGCTAAGGGACCACGAGTGTTGGTTCCCCAGTCCGCAAGGAGGCAAAAAGAAAATTTGTCTCTATCATGAACCAGGAAAAGAAAACAGCCTAGCTCATAATTGCATGAGTGCCCCAGCGTTCGTTCGCCATGTGAAAAGATATAACTTGCATGATCAAGTCTTTGTTGCATATGTACGCCCAGTAAAGGAGGGGGAAAGCAAGGAAGAGGTAAGTCCCAGGAAATTGAAAGAATATTGAAAGAGTTCGCAGATGTGGCTGAAGCCCCCAGTGGTGTGGTAGAAAGACCAATTAAGCACCGCATTGACATTGTTCCAGGGAGTTCACCTCCCAAAGGGCCAATCTATCGAATGTCACCCAAAGAATTGGACGAACTGCGAACCCAGCTCGATGAGCTATTGAAGAATGGATGGATAAGACCTAGTTCCTCGCCCTATGGTGCGCCTGCACTCTTTGTACCTAAGAAGGATGGCGGCGTTCGCATGTGCATAAATTATAGGAGATTGAATGATATAACGGTGAAAAATGTTGAACCATTACCACAAATAGATGATTTGCTGGATCGCGTGCAGGGTTGCAAGATATTTTCAAAGATTGATTTGAAATCCGACTACCATCAGATTGAGGTAGAACCGGAGGACCAATATAAGACTGCCTTCAGGACAAGGTATGGGAACTATGAGTTCATAGTCTTGCCCTTTGGTCTAACAAATGCCCTTGCCACTTTCCAAAGAACGATGAATGAACTTTTTCGTGAATGGCTTGATAAATTCGTTGTTATTTATTTGGACGATATTTTGATTTTTAGCAAAGATGACAAGGAACATATTGAGCACCTTCGACTTGTGCTAAATAAGTTGCGAGAAGAAAAACTCAAGTTAAACCCAAAGAAGTGTGAATGAGCCAAGTGTCAGGTTTTGTACTTGGGCCATGTGCTTGATGGAGATGGGGTCAAACGGGAAGATGCAAAAAATAGCAGCAATCAAGATTGGCTGAACCCCCGCACTTTGACTGAGTTGCGGTCGTTTTTTGGGTTAGCCAACTACTATCGGAAATTCGTAAGACACTTCACGATAATAGCTGCCCCCCTTCGTAGGTTACTCAAGAAAGAGACAATTTGGAAGTGGGATTCAAATTGCATGATGTCGTTCAAGCGTCTGAAAAAGTGTTTAATCAACTACCCGGTTTTGAAAGTGGCAGACCCTTCATTACCTTTTGTTGTCACAATCGACGCTAGTCAATGTGGTATAGGTGTTGTACTCCAGCAAGATCATGGACATGGATACAGACCTGTGGAGTTTATGTCTTGTCGATTACCTAATGAGAAAGTGGCCGCTTCGACGTATGAGAGAGAGTTGTATGCTCTTCGTGAGGCTCTCAATCATTGGCGACACTATCTTCTGGAAAGGCATTTTAAGGTATACTCTGACCATGAAACACTTCGCTGGCTCAAAACACAGGCCCGAATGACACCTAAGTTAACAAGGTGGGCTGCTGAAATTGACCTATTTGATTTTGAGCTCAAGCCAGTAAAGGGTAAGTACAATGTCATTGCTGATGCACTAAGTCGTAGATCTGACTTTTTCGGTGCCATTGTGACATATCTAAATATTGGTGCCGATTTACAAGAGAAGATTAGGAATGCGTATCCCTTTGATCCTGTCTATGGCGTGATGATTAAACGTGTACAAGAAGCGCCAACTGAGTTTCCTAATCACAAGATTACTCAGGGTCTATTGTTTGAGTGGACAAATGTGAATGATAGGCTATGCATACCGAATGTGGAAGAGATCAAGAGTATGATCTTAGGGGAATGTCACGATACCGAAGGCTATTTTGGGTGGAAGAAGACTTATGGGACCCTTTTGCGTTCCTATATCTGGCCTCGTATGAAGCCTGATTGCATTGCTTATGTGCAAGGTTGCCAAGTGTGCCAACGAAACAAGAGCACTACGCAATCTCCCCTTGGTTTGCTCAAGCCTTTGCCTATCCCRACAGGACCCGGARACTMTGTRTCTAYAGAYTTYATGGACACTAARGTRAARAGSARRAATGGGAAAACGCAAGTGATGGTAATYGTTGATAGATTTACTAAGTATGCTGTCTTTGTAGCTTTACCTTYGGAAGCAAAGACTGAYSTAGTAWTKCSGGAGTTCTTTAACCACTGGGTGAAAGACTTTGGACATCCCTTGACTATTGTAAGTGACAGAGATACAAGGTTCACGAGTGAACAATGGCAGCAACTAATGAATGTCTATGGTTCTAAGTTGACTATGTCATCAGGTAGACATCCTGAGACTAACGGCCAGATTGAGCAAATGAACAAGATCTTGCAGCAGACATTGCGCATGTATATTCGTCCCGCCCAGATCGATTTGGATGAACATTTGCCTAAGGTTGCTAGTGCCTACAATAACTCTGTACACTTGTCTACATGTAAGACTCCTATGGAGTTACATTTGGGATGGAAACCACGTAGACCGATTGACCGCCTGAACCCAGATCAAGTGCATAAGCTTCCACCAAGGACAAGCGAATTCGCAATCCAATATCAGAAAGAGATTGAAAAGGTAAAAGAGAATACAATCAAAGCACAACATCAAATGATTGAACAGGCGAATAAGCACAGGCGACCATCTCAATTTGTTGTAGGAGATTTGGTTTGGGTGAAGTCTAGGGAATTTAGTCCTGAAGAGAACATTTCTCAAAAACTTTTGCCTGCCTACAGAGGACTTTGACAGGTCTTAGATGTGATTGGAGATGTGGATGATCCCTCGTATGTCATTGAGATTCCTTTGCATCTACATACTTATCCAGTGTTCCACGCATCAAAGCTCTTACCTTGTGCAACAAATGAGCTATTTCTGAGTCGCAGATCAGCGATACCTCCAAGTATGGATGGTAAATATTACGTGGACAAGATTGTTGCAGAAAGCACCTTTCACACTGGTCGTAGAGGCAGACCACAGCGTCAATGTAAGGTCAGATTTGCATTCCAGGATCCCAGTGAAGATCGCTGGTTTACAAATTACAAGGGAAGAGTTATTGGATTCTGCACCTCATATTGTGTCTGCATATGAGAGAGCAAAGAAAGGAGTTAATATTATTGATAGATAATTGATTTCTCAGAGGACCTCGAAGTTAGGCCGGCGAGAGTAAAAGGGCCTTTACCCGATTCAGGCCTTGTAAAAGTAAAGCAGCGTGAAGGGGTATCTCGCGAGGACCCAGGAAACGAGAAAACAGATCAAAGGTCAAGTTCTCTGGTCAAGGGACACATCTAAACTAAAGAAGGAAGTCAGTGCCAAAGGTCATTGCCGAAGGTCATACCTGTTCGCCAGGGGATGCACATGTCATGTCTGTTCAAATAGGAGTGTG